ACAGCCGCGCTGGCCAAAACAGCCGCGCTTGTGACCGTGGAGCACCTCTGCCCGGGAATTTCCTAGTCTGTGGGCAATAAAAACACGGCGTCCACTCACCCTCTGCGCTTTCACTGGGAGCTGCAAACGTGAGCTGTTCCTAAACGGCCATCTTGGATCCACTCGGAAAATAGTTTCAAAGATGTATATGAAAAATGATAAACATTTACAGACTAATAATTAATAAAGAAAATTATAAACACCCATTTATGCTTTCAGGTAATGGTCATTTTAGATAAAATGAGCTAGATATTTGAAATTGAGAAAATGTAATTGGTTGGCTAAAATACTTTTTGTATGATTTATACTTACCCATACCCTGTCCCCTCCTAAAAATAAATTCACATAACAATTGTCTGTCAATATATTGCTTATCTATCTTCTTAACTATATACCGTTCTTCTTATATATGTATAATTTTTGTACCTATTCTACACCTAAAGCAGCACTTGGCATTTTGCTTGCATTATTTCTTATTTTCTTTTTTACAAAATCATGTGATGTAGGTGTGATTATACCAAGGAGGAGACAAATAAATTTTTCAAATTGTCAAAGTCACAGCAACATATTTTATATTTTAATTATATGTCAGACTAATGTTAACCACCTACTTTTATAGCAATTGAAATACATTAACTAAAATGAATTAATTGAAGTGAATAATCTATGTTTTATAATTGTTTTTATCTGTGTTTCTAAAAATACATATGCTTTTTTTTTTGAGACAGAGTTTTGCTCTTATTGGCCAGGCTGGAGTGCAATGGCATAATCTCAGCTTACTGCAACCTCTGCCTCCCTGGTTCAAGCAATTCCACAGCCTCAGCCTTTCGAGTACTTAGGATTACAGGCATGTGCCACCATGCCCAGCTAATTTTGTATTTTTAGTAGAGACAGGGTTTCTCTATGTTGGTCAGGCTAGTCTTGAACTCCTGAACTCAGGTGATCCGCCAACCTTGGCCTCCCAAAGTGCTAGAATTACGGGCGTGAGCCGCCGCGCCCAACCTATATGCTCTTAACTAAATATAGAATGTAGCAGGAGAGAGAACTCTATTTTTCATTCTGTTAAGGGCATGTTGATTCTTACAAATATATAACATATTTAAATTAAAAGTATAAGTAACTAAACTTTACAATGAAAATTGAATTTATAAAATCATAATGGTCATATATACTTATTATATAAATGACATGAAAGCATATTTCAGACAATTAGCTGATTGTAGGCTTATCCACATTTAAAATTTTATCTTTTATATTAGTATGTATACATAGTATACATATGTATGTATGTATGTATGTTTTATCTTTTATATTTGTATATATACATAGTATACATACATACACATACAGGAAATAAAATACATAATATAGTATACTTATTACTTATACAAACATTTATATTTTAAAAATACATACAAAATAATAATACAATTGATTTATTTACAGCATCAGGTAACCTATGAAAACTTCTAACTGCCGTATTTAAGCGAGACATTGATATTCATTCTCTGAGTCTCAGGCCTGAGTGATTCCACTGTCTCTCTCTCCACGATGTTCATGAGGAGACTTCAGAAAAGGCCTGAGATTTCTGCACTTTAGAGTATCTCATCATCATCTTTGGGGGCCAGACCCCTGCCTCGCAGCCTTTGCCAATTCCCTGGTTATATCATAATACATTCATTCAACTACACAATTAACGATACAGCAGATATTAGATCTTTTTGTCATTTGCTCCTTTTATATTCAAAATAAATATTTAAAAGAAGGCTTAAAGTTTATTTTAAAACTTCCTTTCAGTCAACGTCAGTGTCCCTTATGGGGGTATCAGCTTTCTATAGACACTGGCATTTAGAAAAAGACTGAAAATATTTCTCACATATTTTCTTATGAAACTGAATCATAACTAACATTTAAACAATTTTAAAGACAATATGGTGATGATCTTAATATTTTAAATTAGGAGATTTACGTAGAAGGAAATAATGTTTATTTATCCAAGGACAGTGTGTATTTATCCAAAAATACAAGTCTATAAATGCTTCTCTATGATGTTACTAAATGCCAAATTCTCCGGTATCCATTCTAATGCCCTATCTTTTTCACCTCAGATTTTAAGAGAAGAAATTCACAAATGGCTGAAGAGAATATTACAGTTGTGACTGGGTTTATTCTCTTGGGATTGACAAGTCATGCTGAACTCAAAGTTGCACTTTTCGTGTTGTTCCTGGTGATTTATGCCATTACCTTGGTGGGGAATCTGGGCATTATCTTCTTAATCCAAATCACCCCAAAGCTTCACACACCCATGTACTTTTTCCTCAGCTGGCTTTCGTTTGTGGATACCTGTTATTCATCAGTTATTGCACCCAGAACACTGATCAACTTCTTGGTTGTGAGGAAAACCATTTCCTTCTCTGCCTGCATAGGACAGCACTTGTTTTTCGGGCTGTTCATTACTACCGAAGGCTTCTTGCTGTTGGTGATGGATGGCCTATGACCGCTATGTGGCCATTGTGAGTCCCTTGCTTTATACTGTAGCCATGTCTAAGAGAAAGTGTGTGGTGCTGGTTACTGGATCATTCATAGGGGGAATGATTAATTCACTGACACACACAGTCGGCTTAGAGAGACTGTACTTTTGTGGGTCCAAAGTTGATCATTTCTTCTGTGATGTCCCTCCACTGCTAAAGCTGTCATGTTCTGACACCTCCATGAATGAGTTGTTGCTGTTAACCTTCTCCGGAGTCATTGCCATGGTCACCTTCTTAATTGTGATCATTTCCTACATCTTCATTGCTTTTGCTATCCTGAGGATCCGCTCAGCATCAGGCAAGCAGAAAGCCTTCTCCACCTGTGCCTCTCACCTGACTGCCGTGACCATATTCTATGGTACCTTAAGCTTTAGCTACATTCAGCCAAGCTCCCAGTATTCTGTGGAACAGGAGAAAGTGGTTTCTGTGTTCTATACGCTAGTGATTCCCGTGTTAAATCCATTGATATACAGCCTAAGAAACAAGGATGTAAAGGAGGCAGTGAAAAGGGCCATAGAAATGAAACATTTCCTCTGTTAATTTCAAGTCACTATTAATTCCACAACATTTCAGTCCTCACTTCCAAGAATTCCATGAATGCCAAAGCTTCTCAAGATTTTACAGATACTCTAATTCTATACACTTTTGTTTCATTTTAGGAGGCAGCCAGTAAGGGAAACTTTAATTCACATATCTGCAACACAAAAACAACAGCCTATCACTTAGCTATACTGATATTCTAGGTTATTCATGCAACAATCAATACGTAGTACAGTATTACATCTATTCTTTTGTTATTTGGGATCACAAAATTTTAATAATACTTGCACTTAAGGGTATAAAATATGATACTTTCTAGGAAAAAATAATTAGTCCCTGAATTTCCAAGAAAACACATATGATTAAATAACTGAAGTGTGCCTTCATTGACTTATATTTTAAATATGTAAACAGTGGTAGGCTCCCTCATACAAGTACACTGAAAATCTTGTTTTCTCTCCAGATTTTTCAAAAGCATTTTTATTTCATCTCCTTCTCTGTGCTTATACTCTGAAGAGGGAGGGTGGCTGACCCTATGAATACTTCTGAAATTATAGCAAAAGCCTCATAATATTTCAGTTTAAGATTTTAAAATTTTAGTTATATGCATAGAATAATATAGTCATTTTGTAGTATTTAAAATTAAATACACATTTCATCTTTTTTTGAATATTTTTTCTATCATTAAAGATTTAAAATAAAAAATTGCAAATAAGATAATTAAAATTCTGCAAATTTGTCCTTTACAAAATTTAATGGAATATATTAAATATTTAAAATCAGACTATGTAAGTTAAAAATTATGCATTGACTCACTTCTGTAATTATTCATTCTATGATTTCATAGTTTTCTTTCATTATATAATATTAACTTTTACAATTAGCAAAAATTTGAGAAAATATTTACATTAGTAGTAATTGATTTTAATGAAGCATATTTTTCTGTATATTGGAACTCTACTATTAAGATCAAAGGAAAGACTCTTGATACTTAAAGTTCATAAGACTTTTGGAGAAATAGTCAAGTAAATGTATAGTTTCAAATTTATAGGTGGCAAGTCAGACATACAAAATTTGCTAACAAAATTCCATAAACAGAAAGAAAATAGTTTTTACAAATTTATTCCTACAAAAGAAAATACAATTATAAAAGTGATTGTACAAATAAATTTTAAAATGTATATGAAATGAATATTGTTCAAATTTAAGTATATATGAGAGTCATTCACGAGGGATGTGTAGTTAATGCCATAAAATTACTTCTAACAGCAATAGTGATAACCATTGTCATTATAATATTATTAACAAAACATAATGACAATAAGCACACAGAATAAATAACTTCAGACTATGATACTGACAATAAAATATCATTGTGTACTGAAAACCTCTCTATAACCCTGCTGTGGGTATATATACATATATGTGTATATACATATATATATATATATATATATATATATATATACAATTTATGGAATTGGACATGCAGACAATAAACATCAATTTGCCCAATCTCTTTAGAAGTTTTTGATTCATATTTCTGTGACGATTTTACCTTTGCTAAGTGTTTATTGTATTTTGAATCATCAGCTCCCACTTGGCCTTATTCTGTGTTATCAATAAATAAGAAGAATCAAAAGGGTAAAATGTGAGTTTCCTAACTTCTTTTTTTCTTTTTCTTTTTTTTAAAAATTATTTGAGGTATTCTAGTTTCTTTGTCTTTCCATTTATATTTGAGAATTAGCTTGTGTATTTCTTCTGATTTATTTTACCTCAGTTTAACACTTTTCGACATGAAGATGTTGTACATTTCTTGTTAATTTTATATTTAAGTACTTCACATTTTTGTTACATTTTAGTACATTTTATTTTCATTTTAACTTCCAATGTTTATAGTTTATATACAGAAATACAATGGAATTTAGTAAGTTGCTTTTACATACAGTTACATTTCTGTACATAATATCTCTAGTAGCTTTTGCAGATTCTTTTTCTACATAAACAATCCTGTCATTTGCAAATAGATACAATTATACTTGTTTGTTTGTTTCAAATCCGGTTTTTTAAATTTATTTTTCTTGCCTTACTGCATAGTCTGGGATCTCCATTATAGTGTAAAATGGGTGTGGCAGGAACAAACAACTTTGCCTTTTTTCAAATATTAGGAGGAATATATTTGTCATTTCATGGTTAAATATGATGTTTGCTGTAGGTTTTATTGTATATATCCTTTATCTGTTTCTCAGGATGTTCATTCTGTTTTCCAGATTGCTGAGAGTTCACTTTTATTTTACACTATAAATTTATATTTTATTTTGTCAAATAATGTTTCTGCATTGAGAAATTCATGTATGTGTTTTCATTCTGTTGATATGAGGAATCACATTGTTCAGCTTATTGTTTCATGTTTTTTACAAAAATATTTTGATTCTCTGTTTTATTTTTCATTTAGTATATTTTCTATTGGTTTGCCTACAGGTTTGCTTAATTTTTTCTTCTACAACATCTAATCTGTTATGATTACAATCCCATGTACTTTTCATCTTTTACATTGTACATTTCTCTGTGGAAATTCAATGTATTTTTTTAGTGTCCTCTGTGTTCCTACTTACCTTTTTGAAAATACAACATGTACTCATAAAACTTTTCGTGCCCTTGTTTGATAATTCTAACATCTGTGCCAGTTCTTTGTTAGTTTCAATTGATTGGTTATTCTATTCATTATGAATGATGATTTCCTGATTCTTTGTATCCCTGAAAATTATGAAATGTATTCCACAAAGTATCAATTTTGCCTTTGTGTTTGCTGGATAATTTTGTATTTTATGAACACTATTATGCTTTGTTTTGGGATACAATTAGTTGAAAACAATTTAATTCTTTAAGATATTACTTTTATTATTTATCAGGTGAGTCCAGATCAGTGCTTGATCTAAGGCTGAATATTTTCTTATACTGGAGTAAGATCTTGAATACTGTACATATAGCCCCAGGAGTTCTGAGTTTTTCTAGTCTGTATGCAACAAATCATTATAATTCCTACCTCACTTGAGTGCTAGATGCTGCTCATGTGTGGTTTCCATTTGCCTGTTCTGATCAGTCATCTCTTGAATAATTGAGAGTGATTCTCTGCAGAGATAGATTTCCATTGTGCAGATGTCTTTGGTGCTCTGTCCTGCAAACGCTGGCTATCTTCATCTCAGCAGACTCTCAACTATTTCTTAAACTCAGGAATTCTGGGCTTCACTTGGGTTTGCCCTTCATGCAGTCCAGTCTGGTTACTCTCATAAGACAGAAAAGGAAAGATACCACAGGACTCAACTGCTTTGTTTTCTTTTTCTCAGGGGAATCTGTCTTTAGTTGCCTGACATCTGTGTTGTAAAAGCTACTGTTTCATATATTTTGTCTTTTATATTTTTTTGCTTGTTTAAATGGGAAGTTAAAATCTCTTCTCAATTACTCCAAATTATTTGGTAGCAGAAGAGCATATTCAGGAAATACTTAAGTGCACTCTGTAAATATTTTTCCCATTCTTTTTTCTTAATCATTAATATTCACCTTTAAGCCTCTTATATTCACAACCATATGAAGAATTTTATTATTTTTTAATTCAAGGTTCTGAAACTTCTTATCCCCTGAACATTCCCACGCTGGTTGATGCCTCTGTTCACTTCGAGTGTATCACAGATTTTTTTTTTTTAATTCAAGGTTCTGAAACTTCTTATCCCCTGAACATTCCCACACTGATTGATGCCCCTGTTCACTTCTGAGTATATCACACTGGTTGATGCCTCTGTTCACTTCTGAGTGTAGCACGCTGGTTGATGCTCCTGTTCACTTCTGAGTGTACCAGGCTGGTTGATGCCTCTGTTCACTTCTGAGTGTATCGTAATTAACCCTCCTCAGGACTTTCGATTTTCCATTCTTAGTATTCTGCCATCTCTAACTTGTGCAGGAGTCATAGCTATCCATTATCCAGATATAGATCAGATCACTCATTAGCTCAAAAATCATACGGTGGCTTATTTATCAAGATAAAATGCAAGATTTACAAAGGCCTATGTACTTTTACTTGATGAGTTCTATGTTACAAATCTTCAATGTATCTTCTTTTTCTTAATTTTGTTTTATGGGCCAGTCACCTTTGACTGTTGCTTTTCAGACAAAAGTGGTATCATTACTATTTCAAAACTGTAAAACTGATAGTTCTCTCAGCCCAGAATAGCCTTCCTGTAAATATTCATACGGTCTACTTAATCAGTTCTTCAAGTGCTTGTTTAAATATTATCTCCTTAGATGAATCCCTTGAAAATCTCAATTAAAAAATTAATTATTTTCCTGGCTACTTGCTTTATTTACATTAATGGCAAAAATCACAATTACTTTTGCAGCAATCTAATATATTCATTTTACTCAATACCATCACTCATGCAAAATAACTCACTTGTCATTCCACCCATTTTCCATAAGCTTTGTAAAGACAGAAAAGTTGGTTAACTTAACAATATATGTTTACTGATCATATGAATCTATTTATACGTGTACCTTTCAGTGTACTAGGCACTCCAGATAAAGTACTGATAAAATATACCGTCCCTAACTTTAATTTTAAAAAGTTAATGGAAAAGATATGAAGACAGTTTCTATGTGAGAACACATAGGAAAGGCACCTATGCTTAACATAAAACTGAATATTGATTAATAGTTAAAATATGAGCAGGAATTAGTCATTTATTAGTGACAGATTTTTATTTAAAGGTAATTAACAAAATTATCTATTTCTGTGCTTATCACACACTGATTCTTGCTCATCACATGGAGGCAACAGTACAAATGTAAAGCAATATTAGTTAGTGCATATATTTGTTATTGCATAACTTGTTATAACATACAGTGAATTTTAAATAAATGATTTACACACATTTTCCAGGTTTTATGTAGAGCATTTTTTACCTCTTTGTTCCTCAAACTGTAGATCATGGGATTCAACATGGGTA